GTTAATATGAATTATGTTTGTTGACTGTGGAAGAGATGCACAAAAGTCTTTTTGTAACAAACTGATACACTTTCTATAGCATGTAAAGAAGGATGATGTATTTGTTTTAAATGAAAATTTTAAAAAAATTAAAAAACCATACATTTGTCTAGGGTGCGCACCTACTGTGGGAGCCCAGAAAAAGATGCTGTTTCTAGGAAGGCAACAGTACCTGTAGTGATTACTCAGAAGTCCTTTTGAGTATTTAGACCTGAAGTACAGCTCATTTCTAAATTTAAACCCAAAGCAGGTACTCCTCCCATTTCCTAATTGTTGCCAGTTGCCTCCAGTTTTTATTCTATACTTTAGTCAGCAATTTTAGGCTCTGGACACATTTTGGCTACCTATTGCAATGATACATATTGTGTACATCAAGATCTGGCTCCGGTAAGATTAATGGCTTTCTCTCTGTGTGTCTATTTCCTTGCAGAGTTCCTGCTGGGGACTGTGTGGCAGGATGGCAGCTGCAGAACCTTTGACTGCTTTCTCCCGTTGGTACCTATATGCCATTCATGGCTACTTCTGCGAGGTGATGTTCACAGCTGCTTGGGAGTTTGTAGTCAACTTTAACTGGAAGTTCCCAGGTGTCACCAGTGTATGGGCACTCTTCATCTATGGGACATCCATCCTCATTGTAGAAAAGATGTATCTGTACCTGAAGGATAAGTGTAACATACTAGTGCGCTGCCTGATTTACACTCTATGGACGTATCTTTGGGAGTTCACAACTGGCTTCATTCTGCGCCAGTTTAATGCCTGCCCATGGGACTATTCACAGTTTGACTTGAACTTCATGGGCCTCATAACCCTGGAGTATGCCATCCCATGGTTCTGTGCAGCATTTATCATGGAACAGCTAGTCATCAGGAACACCCTGCGTTTGCGTTTTGATGAGAATGCTGAACCAGGTGTACCCACGTCTGTTGCAACCTTGGCCAATGGTCATGTGAAAACTAACTGAATTGTACTTTAGACTACACTAAGACTAAGCAATCTCTCCTGCCCCTTCATTAGAGACTTGGGATGATGGCCTCAACAGCAAAACTCCTGTTTCCTTTATGATAAACAAACCTCCTTGGTTTGGAGGTATGCATGAAAAAGTGGAATCAGTAGGTTTTCTATGAATTTTATTCTCTTTCTCTCTCTTGGTTCCTTTTTTTTAAAAAAAACCTGCAAGTATCATTGTCAACTACCTGTTGACTAGATAGTTTGACTTATAACTTACTCAGAAAACAGTTCTGTGATCAGTACTTTATTCTATCTGGGTTAGAAAAAACAAAAGGCTGGCCCAAATTGTTCAAATAACATTAGTAGGCACAGATCTCCCCAGTTGACTTAGTGATTGGCTTATATTTCATTCAGGTGCTTGCTTGCAACCAATACCTCCCATGGGACCTGAGATGCTGCAGAGTCAAGGAAAAACCAATTCCTATTGAAAAAGCCCAACAAAATGGCAGACTACTATGGAGATAGAACTTGCCCTGTTGTGTGCTTTTCTTAAAGCTTTTTTAAGTTGCACCACAGTGTATATTATTATGGTGCTGGACATCCTGCTGACTTTCTATAAAATTATTACTTTTTGAATCACCCATTCTGACGCTCACTAGAGAGTTTGTTTGCCACTCTCATGTACCTATTTTTTAAATAAAGAACTATTTTGCTGGATAAAGTCAATCATTGCTGTACAACCTGCATTATAGATATGTAGGCAAAAGTAGGAGAAAAATGGCTAAAAGTCATCCCTACCTCCTCCTCCTCCTTCTCCTCACACTTTCTGGTGGAACTCAACAGGAGGGCTGATTCTTGCTAACTTTCATTGTGACTGTTTACACATCATCCAAATCTTCTCTGGCTTCCTCTATGGGGAATTTTCTAGTCTCAGAAATCCAAGTGTCTAAAAAAATGGACTACTGACATCACATTGAAATCTTTCTTTGATGCCTGGATTCATTGGGAGTTGGAATCCTGCAGGACAGACTCTTGAAAGGCCCGTGATCAAATCTTTTTTGTATTGATCTTCTCAGCGCTGGTGTTCTCAATGTACAAATGGCACAATTAGCAGTGCGGCAGTATCTCTTTATAAAGCTATTTATGAGCAACTGTTGATGGTATCTCACTGTTGGCTGGGGAGGAATTTTGAAGGATCAGCCTTCAAGATGGTCCAAGTGAGTGGAAAAAATAACCCAAAAGGGCTGCAGATATTCTGAAGTCTGGGACCAAAGTGAATGTCCCAAGAGAAATATGGGATAGGCAGGGGCGGTTAAAGAAGAAATAGCCACAAACAAGAAGGGATTCTTTCTGCAGCCAGCAAAAGAATCTGTTCTTTAGGTGCATAGAATGAAAGAGAAATTTAAAAAAGGGAAGGAAGTCACTTGAACTAAATACATCCAATAGCTTTAAGAAGATATGCTATCACTAGGCTTCTTGGACCAGGAAGAAGTCCAGATATCATTTGCATAGAATGGAGTACACTGAGACAGAATTGCACCAGCAATGGAATGGGCTTGTACTTTTGTGGTGGCAACACTTCTTTTATTTAAAATGAGGCTGTCTTCTTGTTTGGTAAACAACTGTTAATTTTTAACTACCTGGCAGTTATTGTATTTCGGATCTCCTTGCCTGATAGGTTAGGACCACCGTTTGAGGAACTCTCTGCCCCCAGTTTCCACTGCCAGGGAACTCTGGGATTTCTACTTGTAGCCCACCTGATGGCAATAGATTTGGTAAGGTTGAGTTCTGTTCTAGGAACAACAAAATGGGCAAGCTGCTACCCTGAGTAAAAGTTGTGTGGTCTTGATTAAGAACGAAGCTAATATTAACTTGATTGATATATTCAGAGTGTGATTATTTTATTTCTTTACATTTCCCCACAGACCTGATATCCATTGCTGGTAGTGGATGAACAGGAATATTAGCAGTGGAAGTATTCCCAGGTCTACCCTACTGTATTTATTCTCCTGACCCATTTAACAGGATTAAACTTTGTAATTTATATATACACCTTCTTATAATTCTTCCTTTTTTTATTTTTATTCGCTTTTGATCGAAACTATGTTTCAGGGAAAGGAGGGACCATGAAGAGGAGAAACCTCTATTATTAGCCCTGTAACAGTGGCTATCTATACTAAAAAAAAANCCTCTGGCTGGCCCCAGAGTGCGGTGGGAATGGAGGTTTTGCAGTATCCTTCTCCTGCCACGCCCATCAAGCCACGCCCATAGAACCGGTAGTAAAAAAAAATGAATTTCACAACTGATAGTGACCTCAGTCAAAGCAAGCTGTACCTAGTACCCTAGTTGCTTATTTAAAGTGTGGGGAGGGGGGTGGGATGGGACCAAGAACGGAGAAGATAGTTTCTTGACTTACTTCACTGAGAAATGGAAGATTCAACAATGGCTAGTCAGTCTGGTGAAGTGATTAAGGAATCAGGCTAGAAACCAGGAGACTGTGAGTTCTAGTCCCACCTTAGGCATGAAACCAACTGGACCTTGGCCCAGTCACTTTCTCTCACCTCTAGGAAGAATCTTGTCAAGAAACCTGCAAGGACTTTTTCAGGCATGATTGAATGGAAGGTGCGGGGGAGGTAAAGGCGATGCAAGACGCTGCCAGGGAAGAGAACCCTAATAAGCAAGAAAGAATCCTAATTAAAGAGAAAGGTTAACTTGCTATACAGATAAATCTACAAACATATTCTCTTCTGTTTATACTATTCCGGGTTTCCTACGGGGGCATTTTTGCCTTTCCCCAGCCCTGCTGAAGCCTGAAGAGTACTTCCGGGGGGTTGGGGGAAGGCGAAACTGCCTCCTTTTTTGCAAAAAATGGCCCATTTCTTTTGCAAAAATGGGATGTGGGGGTGGGGCTTCGGGAGGCCAAAAGTGGCTGTATAAGACACACCAACATTTCCACGCTCTTTTATGAGGGAGAAAGGTGCATCTTATACTCCGAAAAATACGGTGTATATATAGTTAGGATATCTAAAGTGCCTCCTTCAGCAATTTGCATTCTTCAGCAAAGGACCTGTGATATATCCCATCACACAAAAAGTATAAATTGATTTGTCTGTGAGACATGGTTACTTCTGTCTCACTTTAGTAGCAGGTGCTAGGTGAAAAGCCTTGTGCAGGAGGTTGGATTGGCACCAGTTGACTGAACGTTTAATAGGCAATAGAATAGGCAATATTTGGCTGTGCTGTTTACAGCATTAGTCTTGCTTTCACACTGGTTACAAAGAAGGTTCCATGCCTTTTTTATTTTGCTTCAGAGATGATATTCTATTACTGTAATCTTGTTTTAAGCTACATATTGCCGTGGAGTTTGGGTAAGTAGAAAAGCATTTTGAGCATATTCTATAACATCCTTCTTCCACATGGAACTCTCTAGATGTGTTGGGCTACCTAATCCCACAGTTCCAGTTAGCGTAGCCTTTGGTATTTTCCCCATCTTTATCTTGGTTCATATTTTGTATTTTTTGTATTATACACATCATTTGTTCCATGCATATTTTCAAGAAGAGTTTTGCAATATTTGTGCAGCTGCCTGTTGAACAGAGGAAAAAAAGAAGCTTACCGGTGGAGTAGAATAAAACATGCTGTGGCTTGTTCTGAATGTCATAAAAGTCACCAAGAACTTATACCTTTTGGCACAGCCGGGCATGAAGATATAAACACTGCTTCCTGCACTCTTACTCTTAAATAGGCTCTTACCTACTTCAGTCCCAAGTCAGCAAAATTCTTTTATGACTTCATCAATGACAATTTCACAAGCTTCAAAAAGGCTGGGCAAGATCCAGCTTAGGGAGCAGGGGATAATGTGCCACATTCAGGAGGCCTAAAGCTGGATTTCTGGCCTGAAAATGTCTCTTTGGGGGGGTTGTTGTTGTTTTAATTACTACTATAGAATAGGCAAAGGCAGAATGTCAACAGCATTGTCTTAATCGGACATGGAGAACCCTTTGATACCAAGTAGGTACTATCATTGCCTTTCTATGTAAGCATGCCCCATAGAGGTAACAAATGTTCTTCTCCTGAGGTGAAATGAAGAGGTCCTAGCGCAATGGACAAAAATAAATACAAAAGTGAATATTTTGATTCAGCAGATCATTAAGCTAGTCTTCCTGGCTCCATTTGTCGTCTTTCTTCCCAGCACCAGCCCTGCTATGTCTCATCTTCCTGGAAGGACAGGTTTCCCTGGGGGATGGGAAAACCCTGTTTTCTCTCACAGAGGCTTCTGACATAAAACACAANAGTTGCATTCAAAACTCACTGAAATGAATTAAGTAAGACCAGCCATAGAGCCGTTTAAAATTAATTCAGAATAACATTGAAGGGCATTTTCTTGGAGTAGGCACAGATAAGACATCCACCATAACTGATCATCAGTCACTTCAGCCTGGCAATGTAAGTTTAATTATATTTAACATAGCACAATTGTATTTCATAGTATGACTGCAGCTATATCTATTGCTCCTTCTTCTTATATATGATAAATGCAGAAATAATTTGATCAGGAACATGGTTAAATTAAATTCACTCCAACGATGTATGTTTTATTTGGAGAGTTAGTGGTGTTAAATGTGCCCTACTCTTAAGATGCCATATCACATGTCATATTATCTAGCGGAGAGCCAGTCTACAATAAGATTCAAAAGCTAGGATGAAAGTCAAGGTCACATTTCACAAAGCAGTCTACTAAGTGGATTTGCTCTTGTTACTTTTTTGTCTTGTAATTAGGAGAGACATAGATGCTACTGAAAAACGATGTGGTCTGCAGTTTCAGAGAATAGGCACCATCCCTTCTGGACACCATCAGTCATGGTTGATGCATGTGGTTTTATTTTTTTTAAATGGAATCAAATCAGAAATGTGTGCGTGTATGTGTGAATGTGTGCGTGTGTGTATCTGTGTGTGCGTATGCGGGTGTGTGTGTGCGTGCAGTGGTGGGTTCCTACCGGTTCAGACCGGTTCAGGTAGTGGTTTGCCGGCCTGAGTCACTGGAATCAGCAGCAACCCAACTGCTCCTAAACCAGTTCCTCGGGCGCCAGCAGTGCTGGTGCCATCATGTTTTTCAGTTCTGCACATGCACAGAACAATTTTAATTACACTGCACATGCGCACACCTGAGCAAACCGGTAGTAGTGCCTGCCGGAACCCACCTGTGTGTGTGTGCGTGCACACATAGATAGATAGAGAGAGAGAGAGACACAGAGAGAGACAGAGACAGAGAATATGAGAGAGAGAGAGAGAGAGGTAGATATTCTCAAAAAGGCAGGAGGAAAGAGAAAGCAGGGATTGGTCAGTAGGCTCTTGACTAACATGCATTCAGCAAATTACAAAGGTGTCGTAGGTTGAGGATAATAATAGCTCAACAAACCTTACTAAATCTTAGTAAGTATTTAGTAACTGCTTAGTAACTACTATTGAACTATTTTTACTATTTTTACTGTGTAAAAATTCTTGGTTTGTTCAGAGCACCCTCCTTAGATTCATCTCTCTTGCAACCATATTAATGGAGCTCTTTTTGTCCACAGTTGTCACAACTTATTAGGATACTAAGATTTTGTCAAGGGGAATGTAAAATAAAATTAAGAGAAGAACTAGTAGCAGAGACAAAATAATGTGTGGTTTTTAACATTGTATGACTGAGTTTCAAATAGAATTGGGTACAAATAATGAACGTGCAGTTGATAAAANCTGTAACCATCATCTGTGACGGCCTTGGAAAAGGCTAAAGACCTTCAGTCTTGCCATTACTTGAAGATATGAATTCTTGGTTCACTTGAACTCCTTGAAATCATGCTACAGGGGTTAGTAAATTGATGAGAATGATGTTATCCATTCAGTCGTGTCTGTCTCTTGCATTACAAATGCACTAAATGAAGGTTAAAGGTAGTAAAATTACTGACTACAAAGGAGTTGGATTTTTTGCTGGTAATACCATTTCCTTGCATTTGACGATGCTGTAATATAATTCCATATTCTTTAGGGATTAGAGACTATAATCTGATTCTAAATGACCTGATGTTTCAGAGTGGGTGAATAATTATGACATTCTGCAAACCTGTTGCATTTTCCTCTGTCACATCAGCACCTTCTAAAACTTAACTTTATGTCATTTTCTTTGTGCACAAGTGTATCCATGCACAAACACAGAAAATCTGTATGTCAGAAACTAGGCTGAGCTATAATTATTAATATTGTTGGTGCAGAAATCTTGAACCTGGTGTGTTTGAGATGCATTGGACAAATCCCCAGGCAGTATGTCTGGAGGCACCAGGTCAGGGAATATTCAACATCCATCAGATAATTCATTGATTGGGTAAATTTCCTTTAATTCAATGCCAAATTCTCTCCAGGTTATCCTATTAGCCAGACTGTGCAAATCTCATTTCTGGTCTGGAGAAAATCAACTTACTGTCAGCCAGAGATTTTTCATTTTTTATTTTATTTGTTACTTTTCTTTTTTTCTCAATTCAAATGGATGTGAGGGTGGTGGGAAAAGAACCAAACTACTGATGTTTTATTACTGAATTATAGATGGCAGTTATATTATTGATAATAATCGCCAAAAGGCAGTGGAGGATGCACTGGCATCTGAAATGCATAATAATGAAATAACGCACTTAAATTTTTGCTTGTATGCGTATCCTCCTCCATAAATTAAAATTGCCTGTTTAAATTCACCAGCAATAAAAAAAAAACTTGTGGTTTGTTCATTTTGCCCTCTGTCACTTATAAAATGGCTTGTGATTTAAACTCTGAAAAATTGAGATGGACAGAGAATGTCTGTAGGTGATGAACTTTCTTATGCACACCCCAAATTCAAAAGCATGTCATCTTTTAAAAGGATAGAGAACCCAACAGTCTATTTAGTATCCATATTTTGTTAGACAGCTGTCCTGCCCTGTCCCATCCTGTCATATCAGTCTTTTCAAATGAGCTTCATTCACATGTCCTGAATTTAACTTAGATAAATTCCTGGTCATCACAGAAGGCTCTAAAAAACTGGAATAATCACAAAAGCTCCAGCGTCATGTTTTAGTTTGGCATTGGGCACCATATAAAAAAGGCACATTTTGTCTAAAATGTGTTGGGCCTGGACCCAAGCTCACAGGGGCTTCTAGCAGTGTGAAAAATGATTC